CTTTCCTTTAATTTGTTAGCTGACGTTGTTGCTCAGTTTATGAGGCCCAAACTGTTACTTTTCAATTGATAAATATCTGTTATTACTGAAAGAAAGTATCCGTTTTTTCCTGATCTGGGCCTTTATTTCTGGCTTACCGCTCATATAAACGCATCACTTAAGAAAAACGTAAAGTGATATTATAAATTTGGGAAAGGTTAATATGTTACCTCTATAATCAATGTGGTAAGTTGGGTCTGTTGAAGGTGATAAACCTGCATCACTGTACGGTATTTATCGTCAGATTTACGATGTTATAAGCTGGCGCCTCTCGTTTTGATCCGTGAGTCGTTTCCGGTACAGCGCTTCATATGCATCTTATTAGTATATATGTTCTTAACTGTGTCATTTCTGCAGAAAATTTCTATCTCTTAACTTTACCTAGAAGCATCGGTCATTTTGCTTTGCGACAGACTGAGTGAGATAGTGGATTTAAGAGTATCCGCTGAACTGAAATGAACTGACTATGTTAGGCAGATATTCAAGAGTCCATGTTACCCCGGGGAAAATATTTGATGATGGATGCAAAACTGATTTCTTGGTTAAGCTTTAACCTTACAAGAAAAACCGTAGGTGAGTGTGGTCGAGCCATGTGGCTTCTATGATTGAAAGTAACTGTGGTTTAGATCAAGAAAGCAAACAGGTGCATATTCAGTATTTTATTCAATAGCTGAATGCAACAATGTTAAATGAATCAGATAATGCCATGAATCAATGAGCATAAGTAAACAAATTAACTTTTGCGAGTTTGCCTCATTGTAAGGGGTATTGAGTGAAAGTATCCCACCCCACTCTAAGGCAAGTTAGATTTAAACGATTTAAACATGCAGTTCGAAATAACACTGTTCTTACGCTTGCTATCAGCGTTAAGTCGGTGATACGGGTAATACGTCGTTCAAGTATAGAATTTATGGTAGAACCACAACAAGAAGGCTCTAGAAAGGCGGCAAATGTTGACAACATAATGGTAAAAGGTCTGTATAACAAGATATACTCCAAAAGACTGCAAAGATTGGGGCTTTACTCGTCTCAGTACAGTCGACTTCAGGGGCATCTAATCTTGACAGATCGCACACTGCATTAACCTGACCACCCTTACCGTTCTGCGTTGAATTTGTCTCAAAATAATCATCTCAGGGGACATCCATTGAGGTTGAGAACCCAGATTGCTGGCATCACTTGTTTGCAGAGTGTGCGCTGCATGAAATACTATTCCAGCCCACTTTGTGTGTTATCCTGTAGTTGAATTACTCAAATCGCAGCTTGATAAAGTATTGAAGCACTTCAGATTTCAACAACTGTGAGTAATCACACAAATTATCATTATTTTCTGTTTGCAACTTTGTCCAGAACATTCTGTAATGGTTCTATGGGTCATGATTAGCGTTAGCTTTCTTAAATCGCCTATGATAAAACTTTGATATGGAATTTCAAGTCATACTGCAAAGGTCATCTGTTTTGCTGATTAAATGTATACAAAGACGGTTTGACACCCGGTTGTGACAGAAGTTTTGGACATTTATGGCTGACTATGATAAATCCAAAAATCTCACTACCTAACTGTATGCACACAAGGATTAAGTGGTGCGAGATAGAACAAATTGTGTTCGGTTCAACAGTTGTACTGAGTCGTGCTTGACCTGCTTTGACAACATTCCAGTAGTCGATGATTCGCCCGATCGATCTTCCTCGGAGTTTGCAGTACACTGAACAACTGGGGTGTATTTCACACTTTCCCTAGCCCAGTACGGGGAGACAGATAATCAGCCAGGAATGATAAGCTGGTTCGTGAGGTCCGGTGAATAAATGCGGATTCAATATAAATTAGAAAAAATAAAAATTACAATTTTCGAGTTCATGTTAAAGTCAGATTTCCACTTTCGTGAGCTAAGACATGATCGCTTCTTACTTCAATCACTATGTTGTGCATCTAAATTTGTGGTTTCCAAAAAATATGCAACTGCGTTAGATTTCTGCTCAAATGAAAAAAAAACAAGCGCAGTGGCTGGCAGTCAGCGTTTGGTTGCATATTCTCATTCAATGTATCTGAAATTAGCACGAATAATAGGTCACTTTTCACAAAGAAGTACACCTTGGATTCACGCATCCATGAGTGTTGTTTGCATATAAGAACCCTGACTCGACCGAAATGTTGAGAGCCTCCTATCAGTTAGAATCAGTGAGTTTAAATGCTTCCCTACTCAAGCACTACAATTAGAAAAGAGGAGGTGGACTTATAACGTATATCAACTCCTCTTGGAGTGTCACGTATAAGATTCTCTGTGATTATTCCACTGGTGGTATCGACTGTTCAAAGATTCAATTTTCTCCTGCATTTTGCTATCAGAACCAACTTATAAATAACTTTTTTTTGTACTCAGTCTCCCATTTCATCCTTTGATGCATTTCTACCGTCTATCGCCCCTCTACTAGACAACAGCTTTCATAGTATTATCGGTGACTTTAATCACGCATTTACGTATCCCATAACCTCTTGTGGTCTAAATGGTATTTATCTCCCAACAGAAGAGTTCATTCATTTTTAAAAATGGTATTTTATGTCAAATCAAGTCAAGAAATCAAAAGGTGGATATTCAGCAACCAAATAACCACAATGTGTCAACAAAAAGTCAAAAAGTTTAATACAGAAATACAAGTCGTGAAAACGGACAGTAACATTATAAACTGATGGCACACCCGGGTGTTTTTGATTGGTTTATTTTAACATTTTGCGCAGGTTTCCTGCAACAAGTTCAAGGTTTGTTAGAAATCTGGCGAGATACGGTAGAATAGAGCGCCTGTAAGCTTCACTGTGTGTCTTTATAATTATATAATTACAATTACTAATCATCCCTTGACATTTGCCTTAAAACTCACAGGACCTGATTCCACCAGTGACCACGCCTCATTTCTCGTAAAACCTGCAGTAAACTCCCATCTCGTTCACAGTACATTTAACAAACAAGTCAGCATTCGCTTCGTAATATCTCCCCCCAGAAGCACTCCTCGTCTTAGGCGTTCCATTTAATTTGTTTCTCCGTGGTTTTCCTCCTTCCCTTCTTCACATAATGCTGTAAGCTTCTTCATTAAAATCTCAATCACACCTTTAACCTGTGCTGCCATTTCAAAATTTATTCTTCTGTAACGGCAGAATAACATCTTCACTGTTGAAATCATTAAAGTGAGAGAGAGAAAATCTGTATAGGTGTAAAGATTTAGCGGCTGTCAAGTATTATTCCAACCTGATTAAAACTGAATGCAATCGTCGATCTGTGTCGTACGCCACCCAGCTTCTGTAATGTAACATTGGTGAGTGAATTTGGCAAGGTATCAAATTGCATTGCGGGACCAAGATCCAAACTTCAGAGACTGCAACGGATTTGGACAGTAATAATGCAGCATTTACCGGATGAAACTATCAAACGGTAGTGGATGATCACAAATCACAGGTTCGTTTAGACGCCCTCTTGGTGGGGAAAGCCGGTCACTATGCGTTATCATTTCCTTACATTTGAAATACAAGTTACGTTTGTCAGTCATTACAAGATTGACTTAAAGGACAACGACAAAACATTTGGTTCTTCTGAGCGCGTTAGGTCTGAGTTTCGAGGAGCATGCGGATAATTCAATTGATTCAAGTATGAAAAATGCACACAACGTTGTCGTCAAAGCGAATCATTTCAATCGGCATTTCGGAAAGCCAGAGTTGACTCTGATACGCTCAGAGTATCTAATAGAAATAACAATTCTGGGCTCCTCCAATACAAGATCAAAAATGGCATCTTTCGCTGCAACATCACCTTTTCTCGCATCTGTTTCATCTATCAATGCAGCACACAAGTCAACCATGCTCGATGACCAGATAAAGCATCGGAGTGGAATGTGGATGAACACCGTATGTTTTTCGTAGATACGTGTCTGGCAATCAAATTGATTTCAAGGAATTGTTGACGAGCGGGAGTCATAACAAACGTAATGGGAAGATACAACAACGCAGTTAGAAAGGACTATCGGTGGTTAATGACATGCAGCACCATATTCATGACATTTCATTTCTCTCTAATAGGAGATACTAATCGAAAACCTTGTAGGCTCTCGGAGGAAGTGGATGATGCCTTTGGTGACAGTGAAAGATGAACCGTGGATCAGGACGAGTAACAGTGCGATCAGCTTTCACTCCAAACATTATCATGTGGATGAATATCTACTGAATGGTTTACAAAAGGTATGAATAACACTCAATGAATGGTATATTTTTGAAACTTAGGGATAAATATCACAGTGGAGGAGTAAAAATATTTGTCGATGGAAATGCATATGTGGAAATTTGCAAATTCAGAACCGTTTCCGAATAGGTACAAGAGAGAGAAAAGTACTGTTGTCGACGACAAAAGCTGTGTTTTGTATAAGCGATATCATATTTGAATGTATATATCTATGAATGTATGGGGCACACTTGAATAAGAGTGCAACGGTAGGCGTATGTATGCACGTACAGTATCTACATAGAGAAAATGCTAAAGATTAAATCACGTGAATATCCCCTACTTTTGACTTAAGGAATTTCTCACTCCTTTGAACATATTACGGACGTGAAGCTGAAAGACAATTTAGTTTAAATTGAGAATCAGAGCAAACAGAAGTCAGTGTTGCACAACATTGAAAGCAAAGAAGTTAAACGTTCCTTTGTTTTTTTCGGTATATACTGAAATGCTAACTGAACAAATGATGAGAAAACCGAGTAGGTGAATGATAATAGCCGCGTTCGTATGTAGGCCCCGATTGGAATGCGTTGAACAATGTTGATACACCGTAGTTGCCCTTTGGACATGAGCGAGGTAAATTTAGTGAAACATCTTATGCATCGAGCGAATGAATGCATCTGCAAAACAATCCATTCGATGGACTTGACCAATCATTGCAGGTGTTGCTTCTATTTACACAGCTTTGCAGATTACACTTTAGGCAACCAAACCCCGTCGTGTAACTTTGGCGGACAATATGTTGTGAAGAATAAACACAACCGGCTTGGGACATCCAAGCATATCCAGTTCCTTTAAAGGGTGTGGAGGGATAAGAATGCCGGTGGGAATGAGATGTAAAGAGAAACGATGAGTTTATGTATCAATGTGATGTCTCTGTGAGTGTGTTTCGTCAATAATAATGGTCAAATTCACCAATCTGTGAGGATTTTTTTCATGCACGGGTAAATGAATAATGAAATAAGAAATTTACGAAGCACTGTACGGCCGCATCTTCCTTGTTGGGTCTAGTAATGGGTGCGACAACCTGGACCTAACTGATAATCTAACCGGGGACCTCGTAGCCAGAACCTACCCAATCGACCAACCTAGAAATCAGACAGCAGATCAGATCGTTTTCTACTTCGTCTAAGCACGATATGGGACAAGTCATCTCTACAAGCTTGCAGTATCCACCGAACCACCCTTATCACCCTGGGGTAGTGGCTAGATGGGAAAGGAAGTAACGACAGATTTCTCTCGACTACATCATAAATATCCAAATATCTAATAGGCAGTAGATATTCCAAAGCGGATTCTATATCTAACATGAAGGAAAAACATGCACAAAATAAACTGGCCATCCAGTTAAGTTGCTTATAATATATTGTATTGAAGCTTTAGTGAGTTACATACCAGCTCTCAGCTTGCATGAATGAAGTCATAAGTGACGAAAGAGAGAAAAACATATGAAATAGAAGGAAGGGGGGAAGCCTCCCCGATCGCCCCGAGATATATTCAGTGTTATTTGTTGAATTTGACCATAAAATGTGATCTAACCCGGGAACCTTATCACAATTAACATTGGGTTATCATCTAAGGAAATTATACCTTCAGGCACGTGTTAAGTAAGCGAGGTGTCCCACATGAGTTGGGTGGAATGGGATGAGTAGGGAGGTACACAACGATGGGGTCATGAAGCAAAGGAGCCATTAGTGAATGGGCAGATTTGGTTCCAGATGTGTGTCAAACTGGCATGCTGAATTTCAAATGAAGATCTCTAAATACCGCAGAATCGTTTGAACTCAACGAATTGGTTTAAAAATCAGACTACGCATTTCATCATCGGCGATTATAATTAGTTTATGGATTATATCGTCAGAGCACTTTTTTGTACCCGCTTGGCAAGTTTCATACCACACAAACGGAAGCAAGACCCCATTCAGTGTCTCACTCACGGGGCACAGAAAATATGCTCCGGTGGACCTTAAAGAATTAGAGTCACTATTTCCGGTGCTCCAAGAAACTGTCCTCCTGAACCAAGTTCCAATCAAATGGAGGTGGAAATTAGTGGTATAGTCGAAAAGAGGGCTCACGATAGACTGTCATTTAAGAAAAAATATTTGATGTCGGAGACAGTCAATTGGTCGTTGGCAACAGCGGTAAATAAAACGCCCCTAAACGTTATTACATTCATTTCCAGGCTCGTTATCAGACTGCAACTCAAAGATAAGCTAAACGTTTCTGCACTTCCAATTTGCACTCATTCTCTCTCGTTTTGCTGTAGGTTAACGTACAGTGGTTATCTCGGGTAGGTGCTCGATTCAGGGAGTCAACGAGCATTAACCGGTCTGGTTACATACTGGAAGCACGGGTGCAGGTTTGCTCCGTCTACCAGATCCATGAACAACAATCTAAGTGGAGTAAAAATCTTGTCTTGGTCACAGCGGAAGCAGTGCTAATTCCCATTTATAAGCGCTCCCTGGTGTGTAAAATGATTGTCTTTGACTTGCGGCTGAATACACTGTTACCACTCATCTATCCTAATTTTCGAGATATCCGGTCTGGATGTGAAACCGAATACGTTCTCATCGTGTCGTGTGTATTTCATTTTTTGTATGCGACTTCCTCGCCTCTCACTTCAACCGAGTTGTACAAACTGTATTGACGATAGATAAGGAATTAAACGAAACAAAACGTTTTGGCTTCATTGTGCTTTTGTTCACAATACGGCAAGCTTGCTTGTTTACCACATTGCTATTATTCTAAATAACGTAAGCCACCGACAAGCCACAGATAAAGCGAAACATCATTCATCTCATTAAATGAACAGTCTTGCAGCCACACTCAAAAAGTGGGTGATTGTGTAAAAATGTACAGTTATTGTTTGTGGTTTCCCGTAAATATTAGCACGTGCAGTGACATTTGAAGAGTTCGAGTACTGTCGCTGAGTCAAGAAATCGGATATTACCTTCCGAATAATATGTTTTGATCAATTCAGCCATTCATGTTTAGAAATAGGTAGGCGGTCGAGCAGAGGGCTGTCAGGTGATGCCAAGAAACTGAACAAGTTAGATGACGGTTTTGCGGTTTGAACATTCGACACTGTGGATCGTCAGATTTCCCTTCTTGCATGTGGGAATGAAATGCAACTTTCTGGTATGTGTAGTCGAACTGTTTTAGGCTTAGATACTCAACTATTAAAATCCTCTAATAGAATAATTATTGTCGAAACCGATTTACAATCGATTTTTACCCATGGCTGTAAATGTCGTAATGTGAATAAGTGTTTATACTTAAGGTCTCTGACCGAGGGTTATAAAGAGAAAAAGTGTCGACTTAGAGTAAGAAGAATAGGAGCTGAAAGTTTAGTAAATCCAATAATTATATGCCAATCAATGGTGAATGACAAATGATGTGACCACGAGCAATTCCATGAATGAGGCAATGACTATTCTTAAGCCAGATACTGAAAATATTAGGAGGAAACTTCAAGTTCTTCGTTGTTCGGAGACGAACAGAAAAATGTGATAGTTTCGCATAGTTTACATAAGAATAATCATACTTACAAACTCGCCATCTGCGCCGAAGTCTACCCATAAAATACTTCTACCGTCATCCGCGGTGGAGCGCAATTTCTCGTACGGAAATTGCCAGATAATTTGATTTGCTCCTATCGAGGCACCGTATTCATTCGAAGGCCCTCGAATGGATAAAGTCATTCCGGCATCAAAGTGTAAAGTAAGACGACAATCTTGTTGTTGCCAACGGCAGGTGATAACAACTTCACGCGCCACAGCTACCGCAGAATGTCCACCGTCCACAACCGCTTGACACCAAGAATTTAGATCCTCTGTAGTTGACACGGCAAAGGTATGCGAATCGACCCCATGTTTGCTGCCTATCCGAACGAATAGTGTTCAAGAAACAAAGATACAAGCAAGAGTATTTTATTCAGATAAATTGTGAACGGTTAAAACGCAACGAGGACCAACGTTTTTGATTCCACCTGGTTGCTATTTCACAATGTGAAATTAGAAAACCAGCCCCATATTTGACCACCGACTCAGTTGATTCTTTAAATTTCATGTGGTTTACATTGATCTCCAATCTTGACTGCAATACTAACTAAACTAGATAGAAAATAGATGATGTAAGACATTATTAGGTGAATAGGACTGTCGAGAGTTGTTCCAGGAGTCCCAATATTTCAGTCACAATGTTAACGAAGTTTTTCTTAAAGATGCACCATAAACGATAAGCATTTTTATCCCCATGATTTCAAGGTTATTGGTTGATTCAGGATATATGCAATATGCCATGAGTTCTGAGTTCACCGGAAACCATTGCATCTCTTTGCGTTCTCAGTTTCCAAACAAAAACAATACAAACTATTTGACGAACATAATGTGCTTTACACAAAAGTATCAAACGTCTGCGTGTTTGCCGAATTTTTGAAATAAGGTACTTTTACAGCATAAACTCACGAAGAACTTTGAGAATCGCGGATGTCTGTGAAAAACGAAATGGACTAATATAAAAATGTCGTTCAAAAATATCACGATCATGTCTCTATAGGCTTTTCGTCCGATGCCCTCGTATATCCTAGCCATCAAGATCGATGATGATACACATTTTCATGGGAATTTCCGTTCCCGGGGATGCTTAACAGGATAGAGACATTCTGTGCAAACTCGTTTTACCGCTAGGCTTTTACTTGATCAACGTGGTTTTCAAATTATTTGGCGATATTTCTGATAAGTTCCATCATCTCTTGTTTTACCGTGCATAGTGCCAAAACAATCAATGTCATACGTTTAACAAAAGACTCCAAACAGTTATCCTATGCTCAACACAGTCATTCTAATGTTCCAGCTGCAGCTATGGACATGGATGGTTCTGGTAAAGATAGGGCGAGGGAATAGAACACTTACACATGATTACTACTGCTACAGGAGACAAAAGAGACACCATCATCACACTACAAAGCAACAATCAACAATACAAATTTTGTGGAAATTTCTTGGTGAGGGTCAAAAAGGGTCGGTGTTTGGTGAAGCGGTCACCCGTTGAGCAAATCACGGGAAGTTATACAGCCAGATTGAAGGAGGGCCCATAGAGAAAATTCCGTACACAGGGTGGCGGATTAAACAAAAAAGACAGTCGTGATCAAACGAGCAAGCGCACAGTAGTGTATTATATTGTCGTTCGTAAAATTCCGTTCCACACGAACTGGTGGAGCTAATCCGTGTGATCCGTCCATAAGAACAAACCCATCTGAAATTCCGCAACCAAACATTGAGTGGCATAAGAAACTATGGTATTGACGACTGTATGTGCATATATATATGCGTATCTGACCGTCTGTTTTTTTAGATTTGTTACCTTCATCGTGTGACTGAGTTTTATAGGATATTTGTTATTGTCTGAATGTGTATTTGTCTGTTCACGGTAGAGAGAGTGTTCGTGATCTCCTCAAACAAAATGGATTTCAAAGCGCGGCTTATCACACCGTCGGCAAAAGCACCTTGCACAGAGTAATCTGAGCCGATGCACGTTTTCTTTACTTGACCTCGTTGTTCCCTTTATATTCCTATTGCTGTGTGACCAGAAGTTCCCCTGGAGTATTTACGCATGCAAATAGAACTAGCCAAACCCTGTGAAACACGAATAACAGGGCACATTTTCAAGTACGTAAATGAAGCGACGACTCAGTGTATTTCAGCATTTTCGATGCCCAAGACTAACGCACACAGTTTAGTCAAACGCGATCAAAACTCGAGTTATGCGGACGCGTTTTTTATCTCGCTTTAGATGATTTGTCAGACATATTTACAATTAGTGGGATAGGATGAGCAAGTAAAAGAGATATTTTGGGAGGAGCGCCTTTAAATAGGGTGAAGAAGTCTTCGGTTGAGGCTAAAATAAGTCAGTTGATAGAAAGCTATGAACATTCAAAAATGCTTTTCAATAGATCCCTCCAAAATGGTTATACTACTGGAAACTGGTTTCGGTAAGGTACAAGAGAGCATTTCAAAACAGTTTACACCGTTTTAAAAAAACCCGACGTATTACCGATGGCTAAAGACAAAAGTATTTAACTATAAAAGTACAAAAAACCAGTATTATCCAGTGCTGTAATTCTAGTATGGGTGTTTTACCAGTCATATTTACAGGTAGTTCCATAAGTTAGAACGTGCAATGATCACATTTAATCCAACTAGTTCAACATACCAGTTCGTGTGGAAAACATGACCATATCGCCAGGGGGCTGAGGAAGCATCTGAGAATTTTGTCCATTAGGGTCATTCATACCGTTTCTTCGGGAGTCCAACCGCACTAAGCGTGTAGCAATTAACGGATGAGCTTGGGATGGATTAGCCCATTCTTCTTTTGTGGTCGGAGCTGTGTCATAGAGCAGGAGATCCCTGTCAGACAGGGCTGCAAAAACCGGCTTCCATGTGGTGTGGATCATGGTTGAACCAAACGAATTGGGATCGTTGGAAGCCAGTAAATCAGTACTGATCAGAGCACTTGTTCCATTGACTCCACGATCGACCAAGTCAGTGAATGGAATGGTTCCACTAACTCTCAGTTCAACGAGCCAGTCCAGCTGTTTTAATTCCTGCAATTGATCACGTGTAATTTGATTGTAATCTTATTTGACTACTCATTAGTAACAACAAACGGTTGATACAACTGTGCACATTATCTATCTTAGATCTTTACATGTTCTGATAATTAGGATTGCTAGGTTGACGGCAGCAAAGGTGCATGTTTGCGATAAAATGATCCACGATAGATCACACAAATCTGTATTTGAATACGGTACTTAAGTAAAGGCAATGCTCATTTAGAAAGCCGGAGTTCGAAGTCGGAATGAAGTAAACTTCCCGCGATACTGAATGATTGAGTGAATCCTTTAAAAGGCAATCATGGAAGGTAATGGTTTGTCTTTTGCAACATTAAAACCAAAAGTGCATCATAGTGAACCAGTGAAAGATTACCTGGTAAATATACTTTTATGGAAATTTACCTCAATTTATCGAAGCAAGATATAGATCAAAGTTATTCCGGCCGTCTTATGTTACAAGTGATCTTAAATCGTAGCCTAAACCTATGAAAACCGAATGGGGCAAGTTCAAATGTATACATGAAATTCTAGATATTTTCGTTGTTATTCTTAAATATCTGATTCTGACCTAATAAATAGTGTCAGAGTCATTGATAGCATAGTTAAACAACGAGGGATAGAGCACACACCGACGGAGATAACTGACGAATGTTCGGTGAAAGATCAGCCCCTGGTACAGGAAGTGAACTTGTCCAGATAGAAAGTGAGTTTTTTAATTTTGTGTAAGGCAATTGATCAACTAATTTGGATAATGGTAACGGAAAACACATGATGTTTTAATCAAATTCTGAATGCTTATCGCACCAAGAGTTTTATCACAAAATGAATCTACAAACCATTATAAATATGAGGTACAATTTAAAAATACTGTTTTTAATTGACTGCAATACTTTAACGGTTGTTGGGCTCTGAAATGAGCCCAAACTCATTTTACCTACATTTTGCACAGACCTTAGTGCAAAAACGTTGGTGAATTGTAGGCAATAACAAGGGAGTCTTTCAATACATGATTGTGGCTCATTTAACCACGAACAACAAACCTAGTGAAAAAATAAACAAATTAACAAATGCGAGACAGACAATTTTTTCGTTAGAAGCTTTAGATTGCAATTTTCTTTCAGTGAAATTTACTGCGATTTGGCGCTCCTGGAAGAATCAGAATTGAGAGGCAACGGAAAGAAAAATTAATCAAAAAGATAAACGCAAATGTATGAAAAGATGCGTCTGGTTTCAGTAATTTCAACTCCGAAACAACTACAAAACTCTACACGATACCCAAATACACTTCATGAGAATTGATGTTGATATCAACCTCTGCACACTCAAATAATCACATTGTTTCCCTCCTAGGCATGCGAAAATGCATGGTTTCGAAATATTGCTATAACGTCATGCAGTAGGAAACAATGAGTTAAAATTTGTTTGATAAATCACTGAAATGCCATATCCGTGGTTATTTGACGGAGAACAAAGTGTGTAATTTCGTTGGAGTAACAAGTTTTATCTTGTGCTACAGTTTATTCGCTTTGGGTGTACTCAATCTGGAATCCGTGAAAAAGTGTTGCATTTCACTAATCACCTGATAACGCTATCTATTTACGTCAAAATGTGTGCAGCGTTGATTAATGAATCGCTCATTATCCGTCAGAATATTTTTATCATATTTCTTCAATACAAACCTGTCTTGCCACTGTTGGACATCGTTCGAGCTTGTTGCTTAACGGCGATATTTACAATAAGAAGCTTGATTAACGCTTGTTGATACGCGAGTTTAATAAAAAACTGATTTTTGATCCTACTAGTTCTGGTGTCTGTCCGATGTACTTTTTCTCAAGGTCATTGGAAGCAACAAATAAAAGATTACTAAAGAGGCGAAACCAAAACAATCATTAATTGAGCTCCAATAATATAAATATTTACTTCCATGGATGCATTGAGTATGCAAATGCCATGGTGACCTATCCTTTGTATGTCACACTCGACCATTCATAGGTTAGCTGAAGTAACATTTCATGAAAAATAAAGGGGAAATAGGTAATTTCAATGCCCTCAAGAAGGATGACAAACCATTAAAGATATAAAAGTTATACGTGGTGGAAGCTTATCTTATTTGTGTCCAAAATGATGGCAACGATGATCTAGTACTGTGCGAGGGTAAATTGAAAAAAGGGAACCGACGGATTCCTAGTAACGATTAATTAGTTTGAACCAAACCGACAGTGACATAATATGGTCTATAACACTAACCGATTATCGCTGGACGTATCGTGTGAATAAAAAGTATTGTCTGCTAAAAGCCGTTCATTTCAGTTTTTATTTTTGCATATGAAAAACGAAGAGTTCCTGATTAACTGAGAGTCATGGGCAAATATTCACTTCAATTTCATTCAACCACTTGTAAAGAAATTATGTGGTATGTAATTTACTTGATGGAAAAGGTCCACTGAATATTACACATCCCACGTTTTACTCACCCTCCCCCCTAAGTGTCCTCGCGCTTCAATTATGTCGGACCCCAACAAGGGAAAGAGTAAACAAAACCTCAACTCTGACATTTATCACACGAGACAAAGAATCTCCATTTGGCACGAAACATCGTCGCAGGCATCTGGCGCTTTTCCAATGCATACAAACACGTTAACCTCTGGGTGACAACCGAGTAAAATCATATTATGAGAGCAAGTCTGCATTTTTTTTCATTTAGATAGCTCACGTAAATGAGCGCTGAAAGCTACTAGGGATTTTTTGAAAGCGTTTCAGGTCGTGAATGCCTGGGAAACTTAGCTCTGACCAATGGCGTCTCAGTTCAACATTTGGACCTCCAAAACTAGTGTCCCAATCCACATCTACAGCGAGGAGGCATGCGCGTTCGAGTTGGGATCTGGAGTAAGACAGCAGGAGTGCCAGTTGTCGCCAATGTTGTTCAACTTTGCCGTTGACTGGATAATAAGTCGTTCAATGGAAGGAAATCAGGGATTTCAGATCTCTCCTTAGTGCTGGCTCACCGACTTAGAATCCGCTGATGCTATTTTTTCTTTGGTGGAAATATTTACAACCTCCAAATAGTCGTTGAGCGCATCAGTAGAAAGGCCTCCGAGATCAACCTAAAGGTGAAAACGTAAAAATCAGAACTCTTGCTGTCGTCCTAATTCATCCCGAAGATCCTTTACTAATAAACTGAAAGCCGACCGAATCCACCGAAAGCTTTGAATACCCGATCTCAATCATGCTGCTTAACGGTCAAGCTTAAGACAAGCTACACGTTTTCGTGGATGCTGCAAGAGGGGCGTATCTAGAGCCGAAGAATTTCCCCTGGCGTACAAACGAAATCAGCCTGGAGACAAAAGGTGAGTTTCCTCCGCAGCAGTCCATCTTGTTTTGCTCTACAGCTGTGAAGCTTGACCTCTGATTTGAAGACTGTCGACGATTAGAAGTCTTTGATCATTGGTGCAAGAATCATTCTGAAAGTACGCTGAAGGAATCAGTTATCAAACAAAGCTGTCAGAAATCGGCGTTTTAACCTTATTCGGCTGCGACTCCGATTACAATGAAGGTGACTGCAATGGTTTAAAAACATACTTTGTGAATCTGATAATGACCTGACCAAATCTGTGTTGGCACCGACAGTTTCACATGTATTTAGAAAACGCGTTTTCTTTTTTGACACAAGAAAAAATGAAAGTTTTAAAACAGCAATAAACCACACGTGCTCGGGCACATCATCCAGTCATCTCTGTCTATTATTCATGGTTAAATGGAGTTTACCGGTGAGGTCTACTTACTTAAATCTGACCATGAACAACCCAAAGGAAATCTCTCTCTAAAGAGATTTCATATGTATTCATTTTTGGCATAGACTGATGTCGACACCTACCTCATTCTCCATCTAAATCATTTATGGTAGCCCAGAGTAAACTAGACGGGCCATCTCAATCGAAGGAAGTTCTCCTTAGATAATTCCAAGTGGCTCTGGTCGGTGCCACAATGAAAAATGGTTCGAAATGACTGAAAGAAGCAGAGTATTAGGATTCCTGGTGTCCTGAAAGGGACTACAATTACCTGGATCATTTCACAGTTCACACAAACTGACCATATGAGGTTGTACTTGATGATGGTCCGTTTAATGATGCCGATTTTGCAGATGCAAAAACCAGAGTAAATAAAACAGTAATCTTCCATTTCTTAGTATCTTAGTAGTTATCTTGACCAATGCCGTGATAAATGCTAACACAAAACAACCTACATCATTCTGGATGTACTTGTCTTAAACTTCTGAAAACAGTAGGGACGGCAGACAATTGACCTTTTCAAAAGTAAAATACGACACAGAGCGAAGATTGTCCGGTTGAAGCAAAGTTGATGCTAAATATCGAAATAACTCTCCTCCGTTGTTTTTATTAATTCCATTTATTAAGTAAAATGACAAAGTCTTTGATCATTCGTTTATCTTCGGATAAGAATGAGTTCACATCTCTGATAAAATGCTTGTGCTCAGTGATACCCATGGAAAGCACCCAGTTACTGTTGTTCTTCTCTGTCAACCATCCGCATGTTACTCCCCATAAAAAATTTGCTTCGTCAGAGCGATTGGAATAAAATTGAATAATGGTATGTAGCGCTTGTTTCTCTATATCTAGAATAGAACCACCACGATTTTTTTCAACTTGTTGTAACTTTCATTTGCTGTTGTACTCTGAAACACTACTGTTTTTTCCTTGTTCAGCGTTTGTTAAAAAAATCTAGTGTCGAAACAGTGGCAGCAAACAACTTGTAAATTTTTCACAGGGATGCGAATCAATTTCTGAATTAATTTGAGGGTTAAGTGTGAACGTTCACATTTTCTCTCTTAGTACGGCAAAAATAAATTTTCAAGGAATTTATCTTTACAGCTTAGCGACATATGAATTCAAATGATAAAGAAATGGACTTCACATGTGTGGTGAACAGATGATTTCCGGGGAAATTTTGTTTGTAATTAATAAGATAGCATC